TACTCCATCTGGGAATGCCCAGCCTCAATCTTCTGGAGTTACACAAGAAAATGATGACCTTTCAGCAAAGCTGAAAGACGTCGAATCAATGCTGGCAATGACGGACGAATGGTTCCAAACTGAAAAAGATAAACGGATTAAGGCTGAGAACGACTGTAAGAAGTTCCAAGTTTACATTACTCACCTAGAACAGGGACTGGATCATTACCAGAATACTACAGAGGCCAGTCAGAAAAACGTGGAAACTCTACAAGGGCACCTGTGGCAAAGTGAACGCTTTTGTGAAGATCTCCAAAGACGGTTAGACCACGAATCGCGGCTGAGATTCAAGCTACAACAGGAGAAGAAAAACAAGCCAAACGGCTCCATTTGTGAGAAATTAAGGATAGAAATTCATGAACTAGAACAGGGCTTGGATTATTACCAGAATAAGGTAGAAAAGTTTGAAAAAGATGTGCAGGATTTACAAAATCAGCTTCTGGAAAAGGAAGCGTTGTGTGAAAATCTGCAGCTGAGATTAGAACAGGAGTCCCAGCTGAGAGTCCAGCTAGAGCAGGAACAGAAAATCAGTTTGGACAAAGATTTAGTTAATGAGAGCTTTAACACAGAGATGAGTGATCTTAAAAAACTGAACCTAGATCTTTTGGAGGAGTTACATATGTTCAAGTCTAGGAAAACTGAGGCAGAGGAGAAGCTTTCTAAAGAGCTGGAGCTCTTAAAACTCCAGCTGCAAGAAAAAACCTCTCTCTGTGAAAAGTTTGAAGTTAGTTTTTCTGAAGAAAATCGGCTGAGACTGAACCAGCAAGCTGAACTGGACAAACACAGAGATCTCATCAGTCAGAACTCTGGTTTCAAACAGGAGATCCTGGAGTTGAAACAGAGTAACTCTGAACTCAGAGAGGCGATTGACAAAATCAACTCTGAGAAGGTTGAGTCAGACCTGAAGTTGGATCAGGAGCTGCAGACAGTTAAAAAGCAGCTTGAAGAGGAAAGTAAGATCAGACTAAGTTTGGAATCTGAGCTGGCCAAAAGCAAAGAGACTGCTAGACGTAACGAGCAGCTGATGACCAGACTTGGATCTATGAAGAAAAGAGAGACCGAACTCCACGGCGTAATCTTAGATCTTCAGCTCGAACAAATGAAAACTAACGCGCAGCATGAGGAACAGTTACAGACCCTCAAACAGCAGCTCGAAGAAAGAATTAGACCTGAGGTTCAACCTGGTTCTGAAATAAGATCTCAGGAACCAGAGACATCTGTGGAAGGTCTGGAGACAGATCCTCATGACGACTGTCAGACGGGAACAGAAGTTAGTTCACCGACTGAATTATTGGAACAGTCAGATTCAGAGGAAGTGAGCCAACGTCTCCACGGAAGTGACTCTTTACCCGTAGAGGACTGTAGCCCAAAAGAAGAGCTTCCACAAACAGCCGACGGAAATCAGGAAACCATTTCTATGTGGAGGCGCTTCAAAAAGTTCCTTACACCTGCATGTTTACGGAAACACAAAGGCAGGTCTTAAATTCATCACACACACACACACCCCTCCCCCAACACCCCCCCCCCCCCGTGATTAGGTTACATAGAGACTAGACTGTCCCTGGATGTGAGTCACCAAACAACTCCCCCTCCCTCTTAGAGCACACACCCAGAAAAAAAAGGGGCTGCATGGAGAAGATGTTGACACTTTTGTCTTGCAGTGAGGTTGCTAGTTAGAATCCTGACAGGCACCTTTCTTTATGACGTCGGCATTTTCTCTTTCATGTATGCGTGGGTTTACTCCGGGCGCTCCGGTTCCCCCCACACACGCGTGTTTAGGGTTAATTAGTGACCCTAAAACGTTTCTAGCTAGCATTGTACTGCCAACCACTAAACCTTATCCATGTTCTGTTGTAAACGTAACTCATTTACTTTTAACATAGAAACTACTCCTAGTCCAGCTCATCTGTTTAATATTTGACAACTAATCTGAATTTAAACCAGTCATCGCATCACCAAAACCTTATCTGAGAAATAAACAAGACACTCCACACCCCAATCACACACACAAGATAAAAAACGGGACATCATGGTGGCACAGTGGGTAGCGCTGTTGCCTAGCAGAAAGGTTGCTGGTTTGAATTT